GTCCTGGGGGCTCACTGACTGCCATCATGGCTGACCTTGAGACCATTTGGAGCCACGTCATTCAAAAGCATCTTGAGATCCCCCTCAAAGATTTAAAGGTAGGAGAAACCTCTTCACCTCCTCATATCAGAGAGAGAGAGAGAGAGATTTGATATGAACCACTGGGCCCAAGACAGACTATCATTCTTATTTAGTCTCTCACAGAGCACAGCCTCCATCTGGATCCACAATAGTTCAGTCTTTTTCTTTTCCTTTTCCTACACAAAGGTCAAAGGGTAACATACAAAATTAGAATAACAGTGCAAAAAAATATCAGAGATTAGGAGAGAAAAAACAAATAAAAGAAAAAGAAACCTTCCCATTTTATCTTAAGTGTGTTATTGCATCAAAGAGTATATATCCAGACACATTTTATCTTGCAAACATATACACATATCTAAACACAAATACTTGGCATACACTTATGCATTTTCTTATCCATATACTTGTACGCTCTCAAACTCGTTTATTCGACGTGCAGACAAAAATACATAAACAGATAAAAATAAAGTAAAAATACTGTTTACATCCCTTTAACTGATTTTAATTGACTGAAGTGGTAGTTTTTAACTCCAGCCTTCACCCTGACTCAAAATATCCCACCAAAGGTTAAATTCTGTTTATTATTTCAAGTAACATCCTTTTCAAGAACCCACTTATGCTTCAAAGACATTTTGAAACATTCCATGTTTCATTGCTGCCTATTTGTAGCTTTAAATATATATGCTTTCCCCATTGTAATGATGATGTTGTTTAGGTAATAGTTAAGTCTTTATTTACTTCAGCTCCAGAACGTAACTTTGTTTGATATGGAGAGTTGGTCATAGTCGTTAGTATGAAGCCTCGATACCGATGACTTCTCTCTCTCACTCCTTCTCTCCTGCCTGGTCTCTGCTTGTTATGTTTAGTTATTCCTCTGCCTCCTTCCGTAATTATGATACATGGAATGAAAGTAGTTTATTTGCTGTAATGGAGGCGAGGCTCAGTGTATTGGAAGAGCTCCTCCTCATCCCTGCAGTTCCTGAGCAACTGGGAAACCAGCGCGGCTCAGTAGACTGAGGCTCAGCACTCTGTTCACCAGTAGTGGAAATATCATCAGGCCAGAACCACAAGAAAAGTACAAGATTAATACATATGAAATCTTTATTGTTATGTAGAAGCACATCTAGAGGAAGAAGCATCTGACAAAGTAAGTTAAAGAGCAAAGATGAATCAGCAACACTCACAAACATGCTGCAGAGTTAACGAAAGAGAGTTAAACTATAAAAACTGTCCTCTGTAAACCTTGAAAATTAGATCAAAGAATGCTGATGGTGAATCTTCTCACACTAATGCTTACTTTTGCACTGGATGCCAGTATTACAGATGTGTCCTACTGGTCCCTAACATCTACAACAGGCAGCATATCAAGGAACTTGTCAACATGCTGCTGCTTAATATGGGCTTCGCAGGTATTACACACACACATACACACACACTGTACATGTATGACTCTGTACACAGGACACAGACATACAATTACTCATAAGCATCAAATCACCTACTCTCCTCCGTGTGTGTGTGTGTGTGTGTGTGTGTGTGTTTATAGCAATCATTGTGCACCAGGAGTCGGTGTGTGCCACGTTTGGCAGCGGGTTGAGCAGTGCTTGTGTCGTGGATGTGGGTGACCAGAAGACCAGCCTCTGTTGTGTGGAGGACGGAGTGTCCCACCGGAACTCCAGGTCGGTCTGTTTAATTCATCTCCATGAAAAACGTATTTATACAGGTTGTAATTGCAGATAATGGATGCCTTTATACATGAACCCAGAACAGTGACATACTGTACATTAGATCACAATAGTGAGAGTTTGATAAATGTAATGTGTTTCTGGTGGATTTGTGTTGACATCCTGCTTTTATTGCAACACTTTGCTTCTGTATTGCACTGACTGTCCCTTCTGTCTGTTGGGATCCACAGGTTGTGTTTGGCATACGGGGGCTCAGATGTGACCCGGACTTTCTTCTGGCTCCTGCAGAGGGCGGGGTTACCCTACAGAGACTGTCAGCTGTCCAGCAGACTGGACTGTCAGCTACTGCAACAACTCAAAGAGACATTCTGCCATCTAGACCAGGTTTGTGTTTTTGTTAGGAAGGTGGGGTCTGTGTCTTTTTGTTTAGAGGGAGTGTTGGGGAATCACGGCTTGTATGTTCAGTTTGAATGAGTTTGTTTCTGGTTAAACAACTATAGTTGTTCTCAAGAATGGAAGAGAAAAATCTGCTGTTATTCTGATAAATTCCAAAATATCTCTTTCCTGCACTTGTTCTCATCAGGACACATCAGGACTACAAGATCATGAATTCCAGACACGTTTCCCAGAAGCCCCAGCTCTGCTCTACCAGGTTCGACTTGGGGATGAGAAATTACAGGTACATGCATTACACATACATTAAACAGTAATTACAAACTACTACTACTACAAGCTGAAATGCTGTTTATATTATTTTGTCTCCAGCTTGTGGAATAGAATTATTCTTCATCTGTGTGTGTGTGTGTGTGTGTGTGTGTGTGTGTGTGTGTGTGTGTGTGTGTGTCTGTGTCTGTGTCTGTGTCTGTGCGCGCACGAGTTAGGCACCCATGGGACTTTTCTATCCAACCACATTTGGCATCGTAGGTCAGAAGATGACATCACTCCAGTACCGTTCACAGGGTGACACAGAGGATCCTCATGATGAACACTACCTGCTGGCCACACAGAGTAAACAGGACCAGGTAACACACACACACACACACACACACACACACACACACACACACACACACTCTCTCTCTCTCTCTGCTTCCTGTCCTCTTTATCTTAGTCTTCCATTGTCTTTCCAACAGTCGTCCAAATCTGCTGCAGAGCGTAAGGCCGTGTCCAGACCAGGTGGAGCTCTGGATGGTGAGATGAGCAGTCAGGGAGGGATTGGAGAGCTCTCTGACCTGCCAAGGGGCTGTGGGATTGGTGGCAGTGGAGGAGGGATGCAGGGGGAGATGGAGCTTGGGCCTGCCCAGGGGGAGTGCCTGATGGGGACGGGAGAGGTAGATGAGCCTCTGTCTGCTCACCTCTCCAGGAAGACTGCAATCATGAGCCAGTTTGAGAGCAAAGCACTGGGCCTGGATAAGGCCATTCTGCATAGCATCGACTGCTGTGGTGAGGATGGACAGAGGGTGAAGAAAGGACCAATGTGGTCGACAGGGAAAAACAGCAGCACTCAAAAAGTACTGAGGAATTATAGTTGAGTGCAAAAGTTAGTATTCCCCTCAGACCTTGGGTGAAACATCGAAAGAATCTACATCTATTGAACAATTCCTCTTCAAACTAGCCTTTCATAATGATTTAAATGATTCCCTCAAAGCGTTTATGGTATGGAAGTGTGGGGTTAGAAAGGCAAAGGGAGACATACAAAGTATTGGAGAAGATTTCATAAAGGGGGATGCAAACTTTTTGACTGATATCATTTTCATTATTTCACTATCACTTACTTTTTATACAATCTTTGAACATTTGAAACATTTTTAATAACTGAACATGCGTTAAATATTATGTTGAGGAAAATTAATTTCTTTGTTTTAGTGTTTTTGTCATTTCAAAGTAAGGGGATGTAAACTTTTGCACTCAACTGTAAGAAAAATAAAAAATACCGTATAAAACATATAATCATCTTTTATATAGTATCTTTTTTATTTAATTGACAAGGAAGCAAAAAATAAAGAATGAGGATCAATCTTGTTTTACCTTATCTGATTTTTTTTTACAGCATCAGACGAAACTAAACGAAAGATGTACAGTTCCATCCTGGTCGTGGGCGGGGGGCTCATATTTCACGGTGCTCAGGAGTTTCTACTGCACCGCATAATCAACAAGATGCCCCCCTCCTTCAGGAGGCTGGTAGACAATGTGGAAGTGATCACACGGCCAAAGGTAACCTGGAATTCATTGTACAGTCTTAGAATAAGTTATAGATATGCAATCCAGGCAGAGCAGCACACTGAGTGCCACACACAGCACACTGTTCATATGTCCTGGACAGACTGGTGGAACAATACTTCACATTGATGTGCATTTATTCTAGGACATGGACCCTCGCCTGATATCGTGGAAGGGTGGAGCAGTGCTGGCATGTCTGGACACCACCCAGGAGATGTGGATCCACCAGAGGGAGTGGCAGCGCTTTGGTGTCCGAATGCTCCGTGAGAGAGCTGCCTTCGTCTGGTGAGGGGTGGAGCCAAACTCATTTTGACTGAAGCTCCTCAAAAACAAACAGTGACACACGTAGAGACGGACACCAGAACATGGAAAAGGAATAATTTGCTCCAAAGTTAAACAGCCAGAAAAACGATAAAAACCCGTCTTGACTGAAAGTGTTTTCCCAGACGCAAAGGTTAAACATCTGTGTGCATGATGGGAAAGTATATTGATTGTGTCACTGCTAACACCAAAGGTTCGTTCTTTGTAGTTGTTTGCTGGTTGTTGTGTGATTGTTTTGTAACTTTTGAACAGCCTTTAATGGGAAAGTGAGTTAACATGTTAAGTTTGTAAATATGTAAATTGACTGCCTCATGGTAATGGAGAGCTGTGTAAATAAACCTGTCACACACGGATACACAATAGTTGCATTTGATTGGAAGAAAAAAAATTCACCTTTCTTGAAATTATGAGCATATTGAATTTGAACACAGAGGTCTATGGTACAACCCAAACCCAGTAACTCAGTGCTGTTAAGTCTTAAAGCACTATGACAATGACATGCTTCTACTTGCTCTGCCTTTATTCACATTATTCACAGACACTAAATCACCCTCTATTTAACATTGTACAACACTGTATCTTCACATCAATACAGAGTCAAAGGTATGCCATCTCATTTTGTCAGTATTTTCCAGCTCTACATAGAGGAGAGTTACCAAGAGTGAAAACAACAGAACAAGACAAACTCAGTAATATGTTATAACAGGGCACATTTTTATTCAAACAGAAGGGTACAAAACACAGACAAGCTAATGTAATGATTCACTGGAGGGATTACCATCACTGAGATGTCAGTGATGCACATCTCTAAGAAACTACTGTGGAAGGACAGAAGCAGGAACAGGGAGGAAATGATGCAGCTGACTGCTGTATCAGCCATTCTGGCCCCTACAAGTAGGAATTCCCAGAAAGGCGTCAAGGAACTGCTTGTGGCAGCGGCAGCCGAGGTGGAGGGGCTTCAGCACCGTAACATCACCATCTCTCTTTATGCTAGCAAACGGACAGGCTGAGCCCCACGCCTACACTGGATGTGTAGGCATTTACCTGAAGAAGTTGGGGTTACACATTGAAGTAATGTTGTATTCACATCATGTCGGGCAATTAAACAATTTATGAAATAAAATGTTTACATTCTCAACAACTTCACTTCTTCAAGCAGATATTCTGGAGCCTGTTTGTGATACAAGCTCCAGAAATAGAAGGTAAGAGATAACAAGGAGCATCATTTAATTCAGAAAAAAAAATATTTCCCACCTTCCTCATCCTCCTCCACCCATTGGTGGAGCATTAGGACCTGCATTGTGGGTTACTCTTCCCATCCGCCTTCTGCCACCAGGGGGACCAGGAGGACTGCAAGAGCAAGCAACAGATGAGAATTATGAGCAGGTACAATGGTCTGACATTAAATTAGGCTTTATAAGTCTTGAAAAGGTAATAATTAATTCCTTTTAATTGTTTTTGTCATTTGAAACAGACACTGCAGTCAACTCACTACTGTGCAGTTATGAGTAAACTTCAGTACTGGATAAGTTTAATTCTGCAGCTCTCAGGACTTTCCATGGATTCTCAACTATCTTTAAATAAGCTTCTAATAAACAGTTTTTTTTTTTATTATCACTTTTTTTTATAACAAGGTTTTATAAACGTATGCATCTGAAATCACAAAACAACTAGGAACAGACACTACAGCAGGGGTCTCCATCCTTTTGTACTCTGAGAGCTCCTCATGTCTTATATCACACAGACTAAGCTCTCAGAGCCTTTGGGTGATCTGCTCTAAAACAGGGGGGGCCACTGGGAGCTTGTGAACCACCTGTCCGAGACCCCTGCATTAGACAAAGCTGCTTGCACAATATACAACAGCTTTTTTTCATTTCAGTTAAACATGATACCCCATTCCAAAGAAAGCCCTTAGCTAGTTCCTACCTGTCTGACAGGTACATTGCACCACAGAGAGTATGACTCTGACCATCAGATTACGTTACCTTGATTGTTCAGGACAGAGGAAAATGTGTGTGTAAGAGAGAGAGAGAGAGAGAGAGAGAGAGAGAGAGAGAGAGAGAAATGACTGTGCCCCAGGGACCTACCCTCTGCCATCAGTGAAGCGTGACGACCCACTGTTTCCCTCCCTTGTCAGGTCCGGGTGGACCAATGTCCTAAAGCTGGGAGAGGACAAAGAAGATGAGAGACGACAGTGTTGTGGTGACAAAAACATGAAAATACTTGTATCCCCATGACCATCAGAGAAATGCCAGATGTTACAATGTTAATGCACTAAATCAAGTTGGTTAACATTATGTCTGCTAAACATCAACACGTTGACATTAACAATTAGCTCCAGGCAGCGCTGTGCCGAACAGAGCCACTAACGTACGTTTCGTACTGTTCCACAACTTTCCATCAGTTTTATTATTAACAATATCAGACAGAGGAAATACAATGATACTGTATGTGGCTCCTCTCATCATTCAGGATGCTGACTTACAGCATATATATTATGACTTGACAACACAACAGTCACCAAAATTATAAACCTATAATGAACCTCGTAAAACACTTAATTCTTAATAGTTTCTAAGACTTCATTGACGTGTGGATCACATTGTTTAAAAGGTCACATATCCACTGTTGCTAATAAATTGGCCTTTTGGTTTGATGAACTTACAACAGGCCGATAAACTCCACTGCTCCCCAGAAGAGATCGACCAGTAACGACAGTCTCCACGGTGACTGGGTCCTGCTGTCCAAGACCTGACCTGAGAGAGGCAGGTGTCAGTTGGTGGATGAGAGTGTGGTGTTAGTTTCATCTATAACCGAGTGTGTGTGCACATTCCTCCTTAGTTTACCAGCTCATAGAAGTCCTTCTATTCTGTCTTTAACTGGCGATCAGTGCACACAGGCCACCAGCGAGAGAAAACAGCAAGTCAACACGACGTTCAGTGAATAAACTACTACAGTTAACAGTGAATTTTTATGAGGAGAACACTACTAGATGCCCTGCTATAGGAGACTCGCAGGATCAATTCAGCAGTTCTTCCTACTACGTAAATCCAGCCGGGCTAGGCTAGCTAACAACCTAGTTTGCTAAGTAAAAAAGGCTGCTGTTCTCACACACTCCTGTTGGTGTGGTGTGTTTTAAACTATAATGTTCGAGTATATTTATAAGACGGCTAAACATTCATTCTGAATGAGAAAACAGTTGAAAACAGCAGAAACCACTCACCATTAGACACGTACACCATCTTGTAGAGAGTCACAACAGCTTTCACAGCTGTTTACATCGGCGTTGTACTTCCTGGTCCGTTATTGGTGCAGCATTGTGTGACGCGCATGCGCAGCCAATGTGAAAATATGACAGATTTGTTAAACCGTTTAAAAAAAAAAAAAAAAAAAAATATATATATAAAAAACGCCTCATTATACAGGATCCCACAATAAAAAGCTGTTTATCTAGAGATAACTTAAACCCAGTTACAGGATATTAGCTAAAACTAATGGTGTCTAAAACAAACAGCCCTGAAATAAATCCAGGCATTTCATGAAGGTTAATGGTCAGTTTTTGTTTAAACTCTTTGAGATAGGTGTTCATCAACTTTATGGTTACTTCTGGAGGCAGGTGGTGCGATTGAACTGCAATGTATTATACTGAGAGGTTTTCCTAATAGTCTACCTTCAATGATATAAATGGAGTGGATAAAATATTAGAATCATTAAGACCTCAGTCACCTGAATACATCTGATGGAACTCTATTCACAACAGACCCATTTACAGAGTGATGTTATGTTACAATTCATACGGTTCATGGGCACATGTTGCTTCTAACCAGTCACTTGTGCAGTGCCCATAGACCCCCACAGGAACACATCATCATTTTAAACCACAGTTCATTGGACCTAAAGGGACAGGTTGTTTACAAGGAACCTGCTGCAGGACTGCAGTGGATGGTAATTATAGCTGTATGATTTATTGAATGCTCATACAAACACAGGAACAACTCTCTGGCTCAAGACTTCTCAAACAAGATTCAGCAGGATTTTATGAAATCATTTGAAACCACTTGTTAGTATTCACCCTTTGAAAAAGACATATACTTTGAAAAAGATATACTTAGCGAGTGCATGGTGTATTACACAGCAATGACCATCATCATTATCCTTTGTTAGCTGATGTGGTTTTGAAAGTACAGACAACTTTAATAGTTTTTAGTGTATTGTTTAAATATGCAGTACAATCATCACATGTGCTGTCTGATGCGCTGCGTCCCACTCCCATCCCTGCAACAGCTATGTACATGCAAGCTATACAAAAGTGATAAACTTAGTAGACAAAGAAAAGCTTGGTGGGGATTTGATCATTTAGATTCAATACATGATGGTGGAGTCATCAGTTATCATCATACATCTGCAGCAGAATAAATATGTACAGATGAATGACGCATTTTACCTTTTATAAAGGGTAGACAGAAGTGCCACATCTGCACTCTCCCAGTTTTCTGAAGGTGCATTCTGAAATCTTTGAAACATTTGAAACGAGCCTCAAAACACACACTTCTCTTCAAGCCTTAATATCGCCATAATTAAACATGATATATTGTGTTTTTGAATACCAAAGCCTGTTAGAAGACACAATATGAAGGTTTTCAACTGTGAACAGAGGGCTTTATGTTGACTTCAATGCAGTATGACCTTTTGAGGCAGCAGTGTAACTACTGTATATTTTAAGGCTCTTACGGGATTGTAGTTACCACTTGGTTTCAAACCATTACACAAGATCTGATACGTATAACCTCAAAAAGGCTTTGCTTTACAGCACCACTCACATAATCAGATATGGTGAAAAATAGCAGTGCTATCTCAGTATGACATTGGTCTACAAATTAGAAACGAACCCTGAATTTTGCAGTTGGTTCTGTTTACAGACTTGAGTGTTTCACATTAAACGATAACATAAAATACTGTTGAACATCTGCAGTAGAGCTGTGGTCAATTATTTTGGCTAATTCACAACAGTCTAAAGTGAAGTCATAATGTTTGCTTGTAAACCAGGAAAAATGAAAAAACCTCAATACTGCACTATGATGCATTCATGCCAAATAAATAATCAAATCTAGAAACTCAAATGTTATTAAAAATCCATGAGCATATCTGATAGTTGAAGACATTAAGGGATGAAGGCATTCTGTGGTTTTCCCCTCACATGATCAATCTAGATGCTGTAGAGAGGCTGAAGTACAACACATCAGGCAGTGTAATTACTTTCCCCTGGTCTGAGGTTCAGCTCCTGTTCTTTCGTCGCCAGGCTTGTTTGCTGTGCTCTTCTTTGCTGACATGAGCTCAGGTCATATCCTATCTTCAGATATTTCTGTGTTGGACTCTTCCACACTAACCTGGGGTTCAGATATTATTTTGTCTCCCACAGGCTGTTGTGTACCACACTCTTTGACATCTGTTTGCATTTCGGGTCTTGTGCTCTCTTCACTGGGTTTTTGTGTGTCACGTTCAGGTTTAGTGTTCTTTCCATCAGTCTCAGTCTCTGATTTCCGATTGCCTGCTCCTCTAAAAATACCAGCTTTGTGAAGCTCGCGTCGAACAGTTTTTACTGACACGGTGTGAGACAGGTGTCTGTTCAACTCAGAGGTTATCTTAGAGGCTGTATACTCAGGGTGTTCATCAACTATCCTGAGAAGTGTTTGTCTGTCCTTTTCGGTGAGCTTTGACTTGCGCCCACTGTTCTTCTTTGCTGATGCTGTTCGTCCATGTTTGATATATACAGTCATAACTCTGGAGACTGTTCCCCTGGCCACATTAAACAGCTGTGCAGTTTTTGTGACAGATGCACCAGAAAGTCGTGCAGCAACTATTTGGCATCTTTCAAACTCTGTTAAGTCACTCATATTGCTTTCAACACTTCTATTAAAAGTGTTTTTTTTGGAGCCAACAGGTAGCAGGCTCTGTAATGACTGCAACTAGGAGATCCAGAGCCCTCTGTCATACAGTGTTTCCATTATTGTGTACACATGGGCAGAGAGATCCAGGGTCAGGAAAGATCCACTGATCAACGGCTCAGCTGCACTGTGTCTATACAGGATAGAAAAAGATGCAATTAGAAAAAAAATCAAATTATATGTTTCAAACGCCAACACCCACCTATATGCTAAGGTAAATGCTCTAAATTAGTTATGCCGCTATAGACCTAGACTGCTGGGGGGTTCCCATGATGCACTGAGCACTATCTCAATTTATATTGTACTACTTCATGCCAACTTTGTATTTCTTCTTTCCCATAGTTTGCGCTTCTCCTCTCTGTCCTCATTCTACAGGTATCTCTGTTTTTGGAGCAGCAGAATCCAGATCTGCCACTACAACACTCATTATTATCATTATTATTTATTTGTATTGATAACACTAGTATCTATGGGTATTAGTATGATTATTTACACTATAACAATTAACGATTAACAGCAGATATAACACCATTACCTCTGGGTAAAACCTCTATTATTTTCACTGTTACAATTAACAATTAACAGTGTCTACTGATGTCCAAACCCCCCATCCACACCCCCTGTTTAACACACGTTTAGAAAACGCACTCATTAGCCTCAGGTTAGGTTTTTGTTGACAGTCAACTTGATGCCACGTTCATTTTCGATGCTGTAATTTAGCCTAGCCAGGTAGCAAGATGCTAGATTAGCTTTCATGAACAACACAGGTTTTCAGAGTCAGCTGTTGGCATTTTAATGTTGTTTAAAGAGAAATTTAACACACACGCATTGGCACTGATGATTGAGTGATCTACTTACAACAGTTGTAGTGAGAGGTCAGTCTGTCCACCACTGCTACATGTATCACCGAGCTGTGTTTGTGTTTCATCAGGGAGAACACGCATCCGGTAAGACATTTTCAGAATAAAAGCGTTATGTCATCTGCTCCACAGAGCTCACTTCATCACTGAAATGGCGATTTTTGCATAGTAAAAGAACTGAGCAGTAAACATCATTGTTGTAATACTTTCTGTGGCACTACTCTGAAGGTTCCCTCTCACTGGTGCAGGGTGGGGTGGGATGTCAGACTATGACACCACATGGAAAAAACAAATTAGAGCTGCAAGTATTGATATTTATTATTGAATAATTACGAATGGGAGACTTATCAGTTATAAAGAAACAGCTTTACATTTTTCACAGCCACTCTGCTCTTCATCTGCCACGGCTTCTGATGGTCATTACACAGATTGACTAAACAGTGATCCAACAGAAGACAGACTGGCAGGGACTCAGCTGCAACTAAGGATTATTTATTACTGATTCATCTACTGTGGGAGACTGTTGAATTAGGAGGAAATAGTGCTACAACTCTCACGGCTGTTTTTAAGGTCACTCCATTCTTTATCTGCTGCTGCTTCTGATGGTCACAGAACATGTTTACACAACTGGTGAGAACAGTGACTCAACACAGGAAAAGGATGGAAGACAGAAACAGAGAAGAAAAAGTTGTCTCTTATTGAAATCATTGCACAATACACTTCCATCAATAACACAAACACAGAAACATTTGTGATTTTGAATTAACAAAACAGGTTGACTTTAACACCTTTACTTCTCTCTGAGTCATTCTCACCCCCTTTCAGGCTTCTCCTCATCCTCAATTCTTTCTCAGTTAAAGGAAAAAATTACCACGACATCATATTATTTTCCATTAGTGTTTCCCCCTCAACAACAAGTTGGACAAAAACTTTTGCTAGCTGCACCCTCACAGAGAAAAGCACTGGTTTAAACTAAAGTTACTGATCAAGAAAGCTTGCTGAAAGCCTGCTGACAGAATAGATTTATATTCCATGTACATTGCCTCATGAACTGTTCCTGCTATAACTGTGCAATACTGACAGTTTCGTTATATCATATGCATATCTTATTTTATCATATACTTATATATTTTAATGATTTATTTTAATAAATGCTGCCAAACTTGATCTCGTTGTGTATTTCGAAGCAATGACAATAAAGAATCTATCTATCTACATTTTCAATTCTGACAAAAAATGTTTTAAACCTAAAAACATAAATGAAACTTCTTCAAAGTAAGTAAAATTGTGGGTTAAAAGAAAGCATGCTTTACGCAAACATGAACCAGTCTAGATGTAGCAGAAAGTCTGAAGCGTTATTCCTTGTCTCTGGTCTGAGACTCAGGTGTCTCACTCTCTTCAGGTCTTGGTGTGTCCCTCTCAGAGTCAGACAGTGGTTTCCCGGTAGCAGCTCCTTCAGTAACTTCAGCTTTTGCCCTCTTCGTTTTACTCTTTGGCTTGCGCCTGCTGTTCTTCTTTGCTAATGCCATGTCTCCGTGCATGTTGTAAACACTCATGACTTTGAGGACAGTGCGACCTGACACATCACATAACTGGGCAGTTTCTCTGACAGACAGACCTGCCACCTGGGCACCAACTATTTGGCCTCTGAGAAAGTCTGTTAATTCGCTCATACTGGAAGACAATCCCAGCTTTCAACCAATAACTGAGGAGCTTCCTCTGCAGCTGTTATTGAGTGTCTTCAGAGCAGAAGATATTTCTCTTTATGGTGTTTCCCGTTGTATCCACCGGCGAGCAGAGTCAGGGGTGGGGGAGTCCAGATTCACTGTTGGTCTCTACGATAGAAACAAATATATCTGCAACTCCAACACTGATTTGCATGTGGAGGTTCTGTATTAAATTTAATCTAGCGTCACAAGCACCGTGAGGGACCTAACTCACAAAGCTGCGGCGTTCAACTACAAGTTAAATAAACGACATACTTCACAGTTCAATTATTCCATGATGATTTACGATGCTGACATATTTAAGCTAGCGTTACCATAAGCTGCTAGATAAGCTTCCATGAACAACACAGGTTTTCAGAGTCAGCTGTTGGCATTTTAATGCTGTTTAAAGATAAATTTAACACACAGGCCTTGGCACTGATGATTGAATGATGTACTTACAACAGTTGTAGTGAGAGGTCAGTCTGTCCACCACTGCTACATGTATCACCGAGCTGTGTTTGTGTTATTACATCCATGGTTTCATCAGAGAGAACACGCATCCGGTAAGACTTTTTCAGAATAAAAGCATTATTTCATCTGCTCCACAGTACTCACTTCATCACTTAAAATGCGTTTTTTGCATAATAAAAGAACTGGGCAGTAAACACCAGGGCTGTAACTAGTGTTGTGCCAGTTCATACTTAAAAGAACTAGTTCAAAGTTTAGTTCATACGGATTAAAATGAACTAGTTCACGTCCATAGTTCATAAAATTTTGAACTAAGTTCACAGATCCAAAAACGAACTAGTTGCTTTTTTTTAATAAATAAAGGCCGCTATTCTTTTTAGAACCTCCTTCAACCCATCCATCACCAGCCCCATATCATTGCCACTCCCAAACTAAATGAATTACTGTACACCACTGAAGAATCTCAGACATAAAATCCGTATATAAATATAATCCGTCTGGGTCTTCACTTGTTTGTTCATATAACTGCTTCAACTGGCGTTATCAGTAGTAGATGAGTCGGTACCGTCTGGACCACTAAACTGGACTGTGGCTATGGAGACGTTATGCGGTGTGCCGTAAAACTGTCGTAAAACGTGAGCCATAACTGTCGTAAAACGTGAGCGGCGTTCACTCTCGATGAAGTTCATCATTTGTAAGCTGATTCGTTCAGTTCAACGTTCACTAAAAATACGAACGTGTTCATTGAACGCCGTTCAGGCACAACACTGGCTGTAATATTTTCTGTGGCACTACACTGAAAGTTCCCTCTCCCACTGGTGCGGGGGGTGGGGTGTCAGATTATGATGGGTGCCACATAAAAAAAACAAATTAGAGCTGCAAGTATTGATATTTTTATTACAATGGGAGACATATGTCACAGTCACTCTGGTCTTCATCTGCCGCTGCTTCTGATGGTCATTACACAGATTGACTCTGGAACATAACTGCTGGTCAGAACAGTGATCCAACAGTAGACAGACTGGCAGGGACTCGGCTGCAACTAAGGATTATTTATTACTGATTCATCTACTGTGGGAGACTGTTGAATTATGAGGAAATAGTGCTACAACTCTAAAGGCTGTTTTTCAAGTCACTCCATTCTTTATCTGCTGCTGCTTCTGATGGTCACAGAACATGTTCACACAACTGGTGAGAACAGTGACTCAACAGTCAACAGAGAACCCTAGTCTCTGGAGGATCCTGCATGGTCCTAACCACTTAATGTTGAGTTTAGGACACCTGCACTTCTTTCTCTGGGAGTTATACACCCAGACCAGCTCTTCAGAATGTCATCCTCTGGCCATGCATGTCATAGTTCCACTTCTGTCTTGCCCCTGCACTCTTCAGTTGGCCTCTGGCGAACTTGTGAGCAGTCTCCAAACGGTTCTGGAGCCTTTCTAAGCATACCGGGTCCTGGAGGTCCACAGGGCTGTCAGGGGGCTTGCCCTCCATCATGTCTGCTGGAGTCCAGATCTCCCTGCCTAACAGTGGAGAGCAGGGGAACAGGAAGTGTCTTGGCCCCTGATCAGCACGCCATTAACACAAGGGGGACATGGTTATCACAGTCCCATTGGTGTTTAGCAGTCACCATGGCCAGTTGTGTTGCTAGTGTGCAGTTAAAGTTCTCGACCACCTCATCGCTGGGTGGAGGGGTCTTGTGGGACCCCAGTTTTTCACACATGACTCGGCAACACACAGGACTCAAGTTTCTGCCCTGGTCAGTGTGAATGACTTTGGGTACTCCAAATCTACTAAACATCCCCTCTGCCCGAGAACATCAATCCCACTCTCTCCAGGTGTCACCCTGCAGGTTGGCCCCTGGAGCTCGAGAGAGAGAGGTTGGAGTGGTCTTCCCAGTGGACGGTCCCTGCTATTTTCTTCATGAGATTCTTCGCTTCTGTATACTAACTGCTCAAATTATGACTGCCATTGCCCCTGTGACTGCCATCGCCCTGTTTCCCCTGCTATCCCTAACTAACAACTCGTTTTTGGATCCGTGAGTAATAACTAAACTGGTATGCACGCTGTTTTTTTTTTGTTTCTGCTCAGTTCTGAGTGAAGTGGCCATATAAGTTTTAGGTCTCACCGCACCCCAGCTGCAAGAATCAGGCCTGCAACAGGGTTAAATATCATATTTTCTGGGACATGGTTAAAGAGTGACTCTGTGTGTGTGTGTGTGTGTGTGTGTGTTTGTGGGGCCTACAGGTATGTTAATTGTGATTCTGTTAATTATAATTCATGCAAACTGTGGTTTATTGAACAGGTATTTGAAAGGTAACTAATTTTCTACTACAAAGGTATTTGAAAGGTAACTAAGTTTTTGTAAAAAGGGTATTTGAAAGGTAACTAATGTTGTTTAAGGGAAATTAAAAGGTATTTTTGTTAGCTTAAAGGTGTAAGAACACAGGTGTTTAAAAGAAAAAAGTAAAAAGAAAAGGTCTAAAATTACAGATACCAGAGATTTAATTTTGTACATTTTATAACCTCTCGTGTATTTTTCAATATATTTTATGTCCACAAAACCGGATTACCAAATTTTATTTTATCCTATTTCTTTTATAAATAAATACCTGTTAGGGATTATTGCATTTAAAACAACAGTTGTGTGGTGTCCTTATTAATTTGGTGGAACAGAACTATTATACCTAACAGATCAATAACAAACTCAGGCCCTGTCCCATTGTACTCCACCATTCCAGATAAATTTACATAGCTACATGGGACAAGGGTTACACCTATATAGTGGACTTGTCACATCCCACAATGCAAAAGAGATGGGACTTGGTGATGTGGTGAGTCCTGCTCGAGCAGCCAAAAAGTGGGTAAAAAAAGACATACAAGGTTTGTATTCATTGTATTTAACTATAACACTGTGTAATAATAACATGAATGAAATATCACAGTTACTGCTCTCTGTGTATCTAGAGTTTGAAATGAACACTACATCATGAATTGTGCACTACAGATATTTATTTTAATTGCAATGTGTGCAGGAGCTCAGGAAGCCGCTGTCAGGGAGTGGCACTGAATCAGGGGAGCCCACTGCTGCTACATGGATTCTCCATGGTTCTCCCTCATATACGAGGCAATAGGTGGCAGGTCATTAATTCAGCCTCCATGCCTCATTGCCTCATCCTGGGGGGCGAACCATTCTGTTTTGGTATCAGACTCCAGAGGCAGGGAGTGTGTCATCAGGGTCAGAGGAGCCAGGGCCAATAAAAAAGGTAACAATGTGATCCTATTTTGGAACTGCTGGAGAGGGAAGAGAAAAGAGCAGAGGAAAGAGCCAGGGAGGAGAGACTGCTAACTCTGCTTGAAAAAAATCGTTGAGAAAATGTAAAAAGAAAAAACACCAGAAAGAAATTTGTTTGTTTTCACTAATAATAAAATTGTTGATCAATAATGCATGAGCGCTGACTGATAAGAACTAATATCTACAAAGGAAATTCTAACATAAATATTTCTGTAACATATGGGTTTAACATTGTTTCAGTACAGATTAAAGGATATATTATTAGTAATAGTTTTCATTAAAACAGTTTAAACTATTTACATGAAATGATTATTGAACAAAAAAAAACGTATGTTGTGAATGAGTTTTGACTTTTACCGTGTCTGCTTAATAATAGTCGTGGTCCTGAAGAGGTGGAGGAGCGTCGTTTGGCGCTGAATGTCATCTGGGCCCATTGCCTCTTCCACAGGCTTGAGTGTGTCTCCATTTCTGAGCCAGAAATTGTGCAGAATGGCACAATAAGCAACAACCTTAACTGCAAAAGCAGGGTGCATTTCCAGAGCCTTGAAAAATATGGATGGCCACCTGGTCTTCATGATGCCAAATGCCCTCTCAATCACAGAACGGGCTTTTGCATGGTGCCTGTTAAACCTTGCTGCATCTGCATTACTCACTGGCTCCCTGTAAGGTGTGATGAGTGCAATAGGTTGTGAAATGCAAGGATATCCACCTTCCCCTATACTGGAAAAGCTTCAGGTGGGTACAATATGTGGACAGAGCACTAATTTTAAGAACTCTGTTGTCATGGACAGAGCCTGGGTATCCCACAAATATGTCCAAGAACTGACACTGGTGGTCACACACGGCTTGCATTTGAACAGAATAAAATAATTTCCTGTTAAAATAGCCCTGAGCATCTGCACTTGGGGGCTTGATCCTTACATGGGAGCCATCAATGCTGCCCAAAACCCTGGAGAATCCAGCCAGACGTTCAAAGCCAGCAGCAGTTATCTGAAGATTATCAGGTGAAGGAAAGAAGATGTCCCTGTTTTTGAGGCTGATGATTTTGTGTGCAATTCTGTGGATGATATCATTCACTGTAGAATGTGGGATGCCAAATGCTCTGGAGACAACACAGTAAGAGGTTGCACTTGCCAGCCAAAACAGGAACGCTAGAACCTCTACGTCATGACCCCAGCCATGGTAAAATGGTGAGTGGAGGATGTGCGTCAGATATGCGTCAGATGTGCTATTGTGCATCTGGAGAGGTGGAACTCAGGTCATAGGTCACTATGGCCATCAAAGTATATGGCTAAGACAGGAACTTGGCAGTTCAGTAAACAGTACTGAGATGGTTGGCCACACTGTAAATAAACAATAAAACTGATAACATGAAATGAAATCTGTGAGTAAAAGCTATGTGACAACACAGTTAGGGGCATTTCAGAGATAACAGGCAGACCATTCTGGACTGGGCCAGTTGTCCTTGAGCTGCACCATGTCAGCTGTATGGGACGGGATCAACCGTATGTCACACACACACACACACCCAATGATATGAAGGTACCATCAGAGGATGAATTTGCTTATGTCAAAAAAAAGCATTGGTATATCATAAATGTAATTCGTATAAATGTGATGCACAAATGTGATTTATTGTGACAAGGTTACCCATATCCACCCACAATTAATTTCTCCTAACTTCTTGATGAGAAGCCTAAAATAGCCTAAAGTATGGCCTAAATTCAAAAGGATTTGATGCTGCTTTTCCATCCATTTCCATAGTCTAAGGACATGT